ATCACTTATAAGGAATCCACCACTATATGCTACATTTGTTAAACTGATTCATTTTCACTGATCACTAACGCCTGTATGTATAGCTTCATCTTTATGTCGAGAGTTTTACAGAATCATTATGTCGTTGTAAGAGGTTATGCAAGAGGTTACTGTCCAGTGAAGGCAGCGGCACTGCACTCAGTCACTGCGCATTCGGCTCCCTGTCGCCCGTTACATGCACTGAGCCATGCATCGCATGGGGAGAAGCCTCTGCCAAAAAAACAAAAACCCCGTGTTTGGGGACCAGTGCATGCAGCGCAGCTGCAGCGTTTTTGCATCAGGGGACCCATGCACATGTTGCAGTTGCACCGTTTTTGCATCAGTGGACGCTAACATGCACCAAGGCTGCACTGTGTTTGCATCAGGGGACCCACGCAAGCAGCAAGGCTGTGTCTTGTTTGCGTCAGGGAAACCCGTGCATGGCGCCAGTCTTATCAGTGTTTTATGAGCTCGGGGCCACATGAGCTTGGTTGGTGCTGCTGTCAGGGACGTTCTTAGTCATTTCTCACAGCCAACCCGCCCCCCCCCGCCATTCATGGAGATGCATGTGGGAGGGGCCATATGCCTGTGTCACATGCTAAAGAGCAAACACTTACAGGGTGGCTGAGACCAGTGTGAGGGGGCAGGGCTCTTGTTCACAAGAGAGGGATGTGGACTCATTCCAGGAGCTAGGAGATGTGACACTTTGCCATTAGTCCTGTGCAGACTCAAAAACGTTCCCAGGTATGGTGGTAGGTGGGTGGCTGGAGAACAAAGATTGTGGAGGGCTGGACAGTAGATGAACAGCAGCAGGGAATTCTGGGAGGATGCAAGGGGACTGGGGGGTTGAGGGGACCTACGGGGCAGAGCACTGGGAGGTACAGACAGGCAGGCCCAGGCTTGCGAGCAGGTGCTGCTGGCGGTGCCTCAGAAGGGCATGGGCCCTCCTAGCAGGCTCTGATCAAAGCTCCCAGTCGCGGCCGGCTGCCAGTCAGCTCGCCGGCTGATTTGTTACCGCCGTCGGCCCGTTTCACAGGCCCAAGCATCACAGATGCCCCGCCCCCTACCGGCCCCCCACAGCCAGTAGGAATGCAGATCCTCTTTGCAGTTTCTTCATATTAGTTGCGCATGTAAACACACGCTGCATGGAGGAGGTTCCAGGCTGTGGGGGGGGGGGGCATTTCGCCCTCAGTTAAAATCAAACGGAACGAGAACCAGCAGAGTGGGCCTGCCTGCACCCAGATGTTCGAACTGGGATGGCCTTTCATTTTAATGAACCGAGCCGGGGGGGCGGGGCAGGGGGGGGGGGGGGGGGCGGCACACGAGAGAGTGACAGCGCTAGCAGAGTGCAGCAGAAATGAAAATGGGTGCCCCCAGAAGGACAAGGGTCCTGGGCCTCATCGCTTAGACAACCGACTGATCTGAGAGCAGCCAGTGCCAGATACCCTGCCAGAGTAAACAAAAAAAAACACAACACTTCCCGTGGAGGTGTCATGGGGGATGCGTTTAACGAGCTCCGTTACCGACGCCTCGTTTGTAAGACCCCCTTTTCACAGAACAGGGAATGAAAGGGTACAGACACACTATAGCCTAACGATACTGAGGGACGAGGCAGACACAGCGAGAGTCGTTTCATATTCAGAGCCTCGTCGTTCGCCCTGGTGGCCCCTGGTCCGGATGGCCTCAGACGGGCCGCTCATTTGCAGCATGTGGTGTCTGTGGCCGCAGTTTGACTTTGATCCACACACCCGGCTGTTAAAACACGTCCAGCTGATGTTGGGACTTGAACGCCCTGTGGGGAAGAGTGGAGCCCACGGATAGGACACGCCCCCCCAAATCCTGCCGCCATGCTGTAAACACAACACCATTTTGCAAGACCCACATCAGGCACTAAACTATGTTTCAAAGCATGAGGGAAGAGGGTCTTTGTCTGAGTTCGGCTATATGCCAGAATTCGATTTTGAGTGTCCTTATTGCACTTCAGATATCCTTACACCATTCCGATGTTATACATAATGCTCGCAGGGTGTCACATTGCCCTCCAGGGGGCGTTGGGAAACTTTTTCAGATTATTGAAAATAAATTGTCAAAGAGCTCAACAATGTCCCGAGAAAACATTACTGAAATGATTTAAAATGCCAGTATTTTATAAATGAGTGGGAATTGTTATGGCAGGATGCCATGTATGAGTACAGGAATAATACTGGTTAGGCATTTGAAAATTAAACACGGAGATCTTCGTTTGCCCCATTCCTTGGAACAAGTTATTCCACTACGTATAAACAATGAAAGAAATTTCAAACCATTTAATATGTAATACGTTTATGGACTCGAGAAGCCCTATGTATTAAAAAAAAAAACAGTGTTTAACAATGGGAATATGAGAAATAAAATCGTAATAACTCTGATAATGAGATATTCCCAAAGTTTAATGAATTTAGCAAATATAGCATAGAATTAAAAGATTGTGTTTTATACAACAACAGATACAAGAATGAAGAACCTAAAAAGACGCTTTCCTGCTTTAAGTTTGTAGTGTATTTGCTGTTGAATGCAAATGATTTTTTTATCCATTTAAATACGGGTAAATACTTTTCGCAGCTTGAGATGAAGTGTGTATGAACCGTGACGAATAGGGGGCCATTACTGCAGAGGCGGCTGGGAAAGATCGCATTAGTGCGCCGTTTCTGCGCCTCTTTGAACAACTGTCAAACTTCGCCATTTGCTGTCGGTGTCTTTAGTGTAATAGCGAGGTGTTTACAGTGTATGAAAGGTATTTTTCTTTGAAATAAAAGCGCGACTGACAGTGAAACCACGGGCTTTGGAGCGCCTTTTCGGAAACTGGTGAAAACAAGCGAGCAAATATCTGAGCAGCGCAGGTGTTTAACTCCAAAGCTCGAAATCTCGCCCGACCCCACGGGACGGACGTGTACATTAAAGCCGGGCTCCCGCGCAAGACTGGGCATGTACTTCCCGAGAGCTCCACTTCACAGCCCCACGCCGTATGTATATATAACTTTCTAAAGGCTTAATCCGCTATACAAAATTACCTTTAGTCACATTTCAAAGGCTGCTTCATAAAGCACACCCAAATGCATCTTTAGAAACGTGCAACGACGGGAAAGAAAAGGGAGACAAAATAATAGAAATTTCTTTGTAAGTGTCTCAATCTCAAAGCCAGAGATCCAGAAAAGCACCGTAATCCCTTCGTGAATGGGTGCAGGGATAGCGCACGGAATAAGTCCACGCATACTCTTATTTACTGCAGGTAGCAAAGGCGTATGTGGGACAATGAGACCCACCCCGGACATCCTAATATCACTGTACCTTGGGTGATGTACAAAAAGTCTGTCTCTCAGTCACGTTTTTTAACATTAGTGTTCATTATTTTACATTATATTATGAACAAATGCGGTATACTATATATGATGAAGTCGTGCCGGTGTGTAACGTCAGTGTATTATTATTATTACTATTAGCTATAGGCCTATTTGAAAAGAAATTGAAAGGTAAAATACGTTTTTAAATATTACAAGCCTGTCAAACTAAAACGATATAGTCGACTGAGGCACAAAAGAGGCCGCTTTCAATTTGAGCTCTGATATATGCCTATACTTACTGCTTTCACGCGTCCAAAAGTTGTACAAGATTGTCTAGCAAGAGAAACCAAATCACAAGATTTTACTGACTGACCAAGGTTATACTTGGTCTAAAACCAAGTGCGGCAAGTACGTTCTGCGAAATAGATGTATGTGAACAAGTCGGTAAATGGTGGCTTTAAACACATTTTCAATCTAGTCTTAAATCAAATGCTGCGCATCAAATCAGCGCTGTTTTGAAGTCACAAACACATGGGAAGCCTGGAAATCGAAACGCAACTCCAAAGGCTGAGTTTCCGTATTGTTTATATATGGAACATGGAAGTGAATAGATTAATTTTAATAGCAGTGAAATATGAAAGCCCAGTTCTCAAAAGTGGCCTGTTCTAAAATAACAATAAAAAAATCCGCTTTGTTCATAATCTCTTTGATGTCATCAAACTTTTATTAGTCATCTCCCCTCTCACTAATAAACAAGCTGTTGAGAGGCAGATGCAATGCTCCCAGAGATTTGCCCCCACCCCCTACACACGTGCACACACACACACACACACACTGAACAATTAAACGCAGCTTTCGGTGATTCGGTCTGCTCTGATCCCGTGTGTGTCCCTTTCGGCCTCAAGAGAACAGTGTCCTTACATACACTGACACACAAGCACAAGGACATATACTTTCTCAGACAGGCGCAAGCACAAAGAGGACGCCTTTAGACACACAAGCCCCCATCTCCACGACAAACCCGCTTTGAACTCTGGCACAGAGGCGCGGGCGCACGCATTCTTAAGCGCGCACACGCAGGCACATGCGCGCACTCACGGCACACCCGATTTCATTTGGCATACTATTTTAAACCGTCCTTCTTTAACATCGGGTCCCCAAAGCATTTCTCCCTATCGCTTAAGGAAAAAAAAGAAACAAACAAAAACACGCACTGGGAAAATGACATTTCAGGGCATTTTCACGCTCAGCTAGTCACTATTTTTAGGATAACGTCGTGCCTGAAGCTGTTTACGGATTTGTGCTACATTTCCGTTCCTTGTTAAGAACATCAATTTCTCATGATCTATACGGGTGAAGCTGTTTAACAAAGCATCTTAAAGGTTAATGCCACATTTAAAAAAATGTCTTAAGTATGTAGTCCTGTGTTTTTTAAGGATTTTAAAAATATTTTACTCCAGTATTTCTTGTTATTGAAATAAATGCTCTTCTCGCTTTGTGTTACACGATACTGTCAGCTAGCAAACGGATTAATAATTACATTTAACTATATAAAAATATTCTTAAACTAATAGGACACGGATTGATATTTGCATTTGGCGCGTAAACAAGCAAAACAACAACAAAAACGGTCATTCAAGTATAAAACAGCGCATTCTTAAACACAGTTTAAAACTAGAATGTTTTATTTATTTTCTTTATAAAATAATGAACTTTTGCTTTAGAAATATATACAAATGTTTCATTGTGCTACAAAAGGCACAGGGAGAAAATAAAATACAAAAGGAGAGGAACTGGCCGTACAAATACGTTTTGCCATATATATAGTGCTTGTTGATTTATGGATGGCCGGAGATTCTTTTCTTCCCCACGGGTCGTCCATACACTTTCGGGTCCTTTTCAACTGCAGGCTTTTTCTAAGAATGAGTCCCAGCATGTATGACACTGACTTAATTTCCATTAAAAAGCCAAGGGACGCGTCACTAAAAGGCGTCCGGTCTCACTGGGCCATTCTCCCGCACCGTTTGTGGGGTACTCTCATTGTCTTTTATCTGCCTCTACAGTACTCGTGTCTCGTTTTTTTTTATGTAACTAAGGAAAACATCTATTGCACGTCATTTAGCAACTCAGTGGCGCACAGAAGCTGTTCACCCCGTCATCCTGGTCTCAAAACTTTTTTTCCCCCACTGTAGTTTTTTTTTCACCCCGTCAATACCGTTTTCAGCGCTGATCTCAGTGCTTGACATAAATTGAAATGGGAAAAAAACGAGTGTTATGTGAACACATTGCATTTTCTTTGTCAATTAAGCTTGCATAAAAAAATAAATATAAACCTTTAACATTTCCTGTCCGCTGGCACTGCGGCTCATGAGTCTGGTTGGTGTTAAGTGTTCGTAGGAAAAGTAACAAGAGTTTGGGATCTGAGTCAGGGGAACATGCATGTCCCTCAGACGCAGGTCGGGGGGGATCCTGCAAGCTCATACTTGGTACTGTGGCTTTTTAGGGGGGGCTGAGGTTTGATGTAGCCTCCGCCACTGCCACCGGTAAACACACTGGCTGGCTTTCTCCTGGCACGCTTCTTCAGCTTCCTGCTGAAGACATTCTGCCAGGACTGCAGGGTTTTGGAGGTCCAGATCCACATGCCGCTGGTGATGCCCACCACTAACAGCATGAAGATCTTCACCATGAAGATCTCCATGGCTGGAATGGAGCTCTTCATGATGCAGGACTCGGGTTCCGAGCCTCCGTCCTCCACGCACTTCTGCTCCCGGGCCTTGATCTCCCAGTAGCTCATGTTGAGCCTCTCGTAGAAGTAGCAGGCGATGACGCAGGTGGCCGGCACGGTGTAGAGCACGGAGAAAACGCCAATGCGCACCATGAGCTTCTCCAGCTTGTCCGTGTTTTCGCCCTCTGTCTTCATGACCCTGCGGATGTGGAAGAGGGCCACGAAGCCAGAAAGCAGAAAGGACGTGCCGATAACCAAATAGCATGACAGAGGGATGAGCACAAAGCCCGTTAGGGCCTTCACGTCCATACTGCCCACGTAGCAGACCCCTGTGAGCTCGTCGCCGGCCACCTTCCTCATCACTAGGATCATGATGGTCTTCACTGCCGGTATGGCCCAGGCTGCCAGATGGAAATAGCTGCTGTTGGCCTCGATGGCCTCGTGGCCCCACTTCCTCCCCGCAGCCAGGAACCAGGTGAGCGTGAGGACCACCCACCACAGCGAGCTGGCCATGCCGAAGTAGTAGAGGATGAGGAAGACGATGGTGCAACCCGTGCTCTCCAGGCCCTCCTGGATGATGTACTGGACGCCGCTGTCACGGTCACAGGCGATGTTGTGCGCCCCCACGAACAGGCGGATGAGGTAACCCATGGAGTAAACGCAGTAGGACATGGACAGGAAGATGATTGGCCTCTCGGGGTAGCGGAAGCGCTGGGGGTCAACCAGGAAGGTGAGGACCGTGAAAGAACTGGACACGAAGCAGAGGATGGACCAGACAGACATCCAGACGAGGGAGAAGCGTTTGTCTGCCTGGCTCCAGTACACATCCACCTGGGGGTAGCAGCGAGGCGCACACGACTCGCTCTTCTGCACGTAGTGGAACTTGTCTGGGTTGCTGCATGTCCGGCGGCCACCGCTACCAGTGCCAGCTCCACCCCCACCATCCTTTAGCTGGAGCTCCTGGCCGCTGTTGGGCCGGTGGAGCCGGAAGTCCGGGGTCTGAGTGTGAGGGCCCTTGGGGGACTCGTCGGAGCCATTGCTGGGGGCCTCCATACACAGGTTGTTGGGGTCGTTCTTGCTGGGCAGCCGGGAACAATCGAGCGAGTCGGGCCAGCGGAAGCTGAACTGCTCCATGATGGGTGAGCAGCGCAGCCGGGCCTGCTCGCACATCACTTTGCAGGCGGGGATGGGCGTAGACACCTGCTCGGTGCACATGGGCGCGTACAGCGAGCACAGGAAGAAGCGCAGGTGGCCATGGCAGCCATACTCGATCAGCGGCGCAAACTCGTGCAGTTTTATGGCTGCCTCACCCTGGTCCATGTGCCCCATGAGGTTAGGCATCCGTGTCATGTTGTAGCCAATGTCCCTGCACAGGGGGATTTCGATGGGCTGGCACCGCCCGTCACTGGGGCGGTCAGGGTCCATGGAGCTGATGGCCGTGCAGCCGGCAATCACCAAGGTGAGGAGGCATAGCGATCTCGGTGCGGAGGGGAAAGGCATCCCGTCAGCTTTCTCTCATGTAGCACAGCGGCTCAAAACACAAACACAGCAATGTCCGCTTTTAAAATTATTACTATTATCCTCAGATATGCGTTGCGTTTCCTGCAGGCACAACAGTGTTCGTGTTCATCTATATGTCCCAGGAGAGCCACGGGGGGTTAAGGGCGAAAGAGATCAAACTCCCAAAACAGTCCATCAAAGTAGCGCAGCGTCCCCCTTTATTCGCCTTATCTGCAGCGATTGGTAAAAGCACATTAATTCCTGCGGGACTTTGGGAAAAAAAAAACGTTCATTCAGACCAGTTTCGTTTAAGAGATCATGCGCTTACCATGCGGGACCGAGAAGTGAGTGCTGCTCGGACATCCGAGCCCCACGCTGGGAAGGCACCGATAAAAGTCCCTCTCATCAGGCGGACGATCCGCTCCCCAGGCTGTAGCTTTGGTGCATGTGAGATCGGACTCCGAGGAGCGGCGGGGAAAACGGAGCCTGTCCCAGAGCAGCACGCAAAAACGGACGGAGACTTCTCTCTCCCCAAAATCCCGCTATGGTCATACAGCCAGAACGCTGGAAAGCGGTCTTACAAAAAATTATAAATAAAAAAAAAAACTAACACAAAGCTTGAAGTCTTTTAGATGTTTCAGCGATTTTTTTCTCCATCCCTCTATGCACGTCCGTTTCTTATATCTTTCTTAGATGTACTGCATTGGGAAACGTTAATTTGTCCCCGGTTACACTCCGCAAGACGACTCGTCGGTTGCGCTGCAGATCTGAGTCTGTCTTCGCTACCGTCCTGGACTAACCTGCCAAATGACCCTCCTTCAAAGACACCTCGTTTGCATAAGAAAGGTAAAACTGACACGGTGATTATTTTCAAATCGTGCGGAACAGCCCGCAGACCTCCTTAAAAAAAACTCACGGCTTTTTCTTCCCCCCTCATTGTTGATCGCGCTACTCATCGGCCATTTGTCCTCTTTTCCGACTTTTAAAGAAAAGTTTCCAGTGATCACCAAGTGTTAAACTTTAGCGTGTTTCACTCGCAGGTAGGAGCCAAATGTTGTCCAAGGCGGCCAAACGGACTCGGCGGCATTTCGGTGAAAGGCTGATTTATTTTCCCCCTCTGATTCAATTGTTGATTTTCACGGTCCGGGGGTAATAGAAAAAAAAAGTTTCTTGTTGGGATCCCCGTCTTTCCCACTTCTGTTTAATTATGACAGAACCAAATGAATGAAACGTGAGGTCAAAGTATTATGTATTTGAATGACATATTACTTACAATAAATTCATATTATAATTTTCGTGCAAATATAGGCTATAATGTGCATCATACATTTGAGATGTATGAGTTTCTGTAGACTAGACTGATTTCAAAACGACAGAGCGTGTTATGATATTGCTCATCGTGCGATCAATAAATCAAGTATTTTAAAAGCTTAAAAATTGTTAAATATTCAAACCTGATTTGCAGGAGAGTCTTTGAAGTGCTTCTGAGTGGGTAATTACACAGAATACTGCTTTGCCGATGTGTTTCATTCCCCGAGTCAAAAAAAGTCGGAAAAAATAACGCTAGGGCGGGGCAACATTATAAAAGAGCAATCTCTCGTCTAAGAGCGCTTGGGAGTTCGCCAGCTTAGTTTAAGCTCTTAGGATTTCCTTTTCTGTAAAATAAAAGCAGCAAAATTAGATCCTCATCCTGTCCTTTGATTTTTTTCCTTTTTTTACGCAGGGTTTTTTTTGCTGGCTGTATTGATGCACGCTTGAGATATATATATATATATATATATATATATATATATATAT